CCACCTGTGCTCTTGCATGTGTTATTTCAATACATTGAAGCAAATAAATTTGATAAGCTTTTATTGATGCCACAGCTCTATCAACACTGTGCCCGAGGTCTGATTCTCCAGCCCAGTGGTTCATCTGTGCCCCCAAAACTGGTCTTGATTTTCACGGTAAGAGGATTTGCAAACCCTGAAATCTCCTGCAAAGCTGTAACTGTGAGGATGGGGCTATTTTACCCAAATATTGGGAGCAAGTGTCTTGGGCATTTTGGGAGGAGGCAGAAGGAGGCATCACTTATTCTCCATCTTCTGCTGTCACAGAGCAGAGCAGGAAAGGCTTTTTTTTGCAAACCCACTTGTGTTCAGCATCACATCTATTGACTTCAAAGTCTTTGGCTCTCAGTGTCCCACACCCTTCATCCATCTTGTGCAAAGAGGTGCCAAGCCTGTAAAACAAAAATTGTATTGTTGAAAAGGAGGAAACTCTCCAAATCTTGCAGAAAAAGAGAGATGGGTTTGGGTTGTTCTGCCCTTTTCTGCCCCCATTGTCTCACCATGCATGCATTATTTCTTGCTGGAGGGTAATCAGATTAGAGGAGAGTTGCTGTACCTGCAGTAAGATCTGCAAGGAGCACATGTGGAGCATAAAAAGTCATGTTATTGCATGGGTCTGGTGGGAGGTGTGGGGTTACTCTGCTCTGGTACAGTTCCCCAGCCTTTGTTCTACAGAGCTTTGCTGGAGGGAATATGAGACACTTGCATAAACTCCAACATTTTGGAGAGACTTGTCAGGACATGAACTGGGTCTGAAATGGAGCAAAGCTGCTATTTATACCAACAGACTGTGGATACGCTCACATTTTGGGGTTGAAAGGTGTGCCATCTATCCATCTCCACACCTTCTGATGTGACCTTAATCCAATCCACACTGGTGGTGGGCTCTTGCCTGTAACAGTCTTGATGTGCTCCTGGAAAATAGAAGTGACCAGTTGCTCCCAAGATCTCTCTCTGGAGGGCTTCATGGCAATAAAAGTCACAAAGTAAATCTGACTCCTAAATCCACTGAGACGTGAATTTCCCCTATACTTTGAATGCTTCCCCAAACCCTCCTGTAGATAGGCATATTTTCTTCACTGACTACCTAAAAATCAGGACTTTTGTGTCCTTTTTAAGTTTTCTTCTCCCTATTTACCTTTTCTTTCTTGTCCTGGAGCACCACCAGCTGGGAGTCCTGGTTCTCACAGCTTCTCATACCTTGAGTCCAGTTTCCCAATTCCTCAGAAAGCCAGTAGCATCTTTCCCCATGGAGCTGCCAGTTCTGGGGACACAGCTTGCAGCCAGCATAGGCTGAAGACAAGAAAAAGCCATGAGACACTCTGAAGGGTCGTCAGGTTATTCCCCAGCCACCAGCTGAAGGTACTGAGGGATTCCCAATCCCACACCCCAGCTCTTTCCCCATTGCTGAGTTTTTCACATCTATGTGGTTTTGCCAGCCATTGGAGAGAAGGAAGGTTACTGAGGCTGGGTGACCGCAAGGACATTATTGGCTGGTGGAGGTGGAGGAAGAATGGCAAGGAACTTCCTCCCTAGGGCTGTTGCTGCTCATCCATGGAGAAGGAATCAGCAAAAATTGCATGGAAAAGAGGATTCTTCCTGAAAGACTCCTTTTTGTCAAATAACCCTTGTGGTCTCGCAACTCCAAGGGTCTAAGGGTCTCTCTCCTTGCAGTAGAAGACCCCCACAAAGGTCTCACCTGAGCATCTCCCAGCAGAGTTGGGTGGGAAGGGGGGTTACCTGTGGGGCTGTCTCCTTGGGGCTTGCAGAAATACTGCACCAGGGATGGAAACATGCACTGCTCCACCTGGTTCCTTCCGTGGATCCCACTGCCTAGCTGCGGAACGCTTGTCACCACTAGCTGTGGGGAGCCCTGAAAAACTTGCAACAGTAATCTGGGGTAAGAAGCTGCAGCCATTTGGAGATAAAACAACAAACCCCACAAAATTTGGTTTCATTTTCTCATACAGTTTCTTAAGTCAGCCTGAGAAACATGGTTTGTTTTCATCACCCTTGTTTGATAGCTATGGGTATAATCCAGGTTTACTCATAATGGGTTTATTCTTGATGGGTGATGTTACATCTCTGCAGGACAACCTTGCCCTTCCAAAGACTGAAATGCTGAAATAAACCCCAGTTTCCCCTCCCTGGTTGCTCACTGGAGTGTGGGATGTAGATAAGAGCTGGTTACTCACCCCACACACTCAGCACCACCACCAGGACCAGCAGGATCAGTTGCCCCAGCCCCCCGGCTATGAGAAGGAACCTGTGCCACCATGGACACAAGGCAGGTGCTGAAAGAGACACATTTGTTTTATAAAATGAAAGATGAAAAAACTGGGGGTTTGGAGGGGAAAATAATAATTTTTAAAAAAAGCCCCTCTGTCAAGCTGGTGAGTTTAAGCAGAAGTTTACAGCTTCTTTTCTTCCTCCAAAAAAATAAATCACCACTGGTGTGGTCTAGATTGAGCAGTTTTTCAGGTGGAGGAGGGGCTTCAGGAGCCTCAGGAGCAACCTTGGGCACCCAGTGATGGAGCCTGGGGGATGTGAGACCATCTGAAATTGGCTTAATTTAGAGCTCCTGGTAGAGCTGGAAGTTGGTGAGACAAATGTCACTCCAGCTCTCATGTCCATCAGGATTCCAGAGAGGATCTCAGCAGCTTTCCTTCCCATCCAGGTGTTCTGGCTCTTGTTGGGTTTCTTGGCACCTATTTTGGCCCCCAGGTGAAGAGTCTTTGAACATGGCTTCCATATATCTGTCACATGCTCTCATCCTTTCCTTTCTTTCCCCCTCTTTTCAAGCCAGGATCCTACCTTAGAAGATATTTAACCCACAACAATGTTCTCCATGATCTTGGAAACCTCAACATGGAGATGAAGAAGAAAGCAAACCTAAAAGTAAACAAATCCAAAAATCTTCCCAAAATTTGAAACAAGCATTCCCCCCAAAAATAGGACTTACTGTGATGCTTCTGAATAGAAGAACCATCCCCAAGGTGCCTTAAATCAGCATAAACTATTTCCCCAGCCATGGTTGCTCAGAAGCTCCCAGGAGAAGACCAAAAGTGACACTGTCCTTGGACAACCCCTTGCCTTGTGAACTACACACTCACATCTGCATCTGGCTTCAGGAAATGGTATTGGCTGGGGCTTTTATCTGCTTTTTCCTTTCTACATATATATACACATACACATGCATACATACAAACAAACATATACATACAAACATACAAACATACATACATACGTATGTATGTATGTATGTATGTATGTATGTATGTATGTATTCTGCACCCTTCCCTTGTAAATAGAAGGTGGTGAGGGTATGGGTGTCCTGCAGCTAGGAAAAGGTGGCATACCTGGAGCTGCAGAAACATCTGTGATTTTGGTGGTTGTGCTACACATCTGTGAAAGCAGAATTAATAAATAATCATTTCAAAAAGCTTTTAAATAAGATTTTTGACTGTGTGTTTGAAGCATGTTAGGAGCTGGAACAGTGTGACCACAGGCAGGTGGGGAGGAGACAGGTGAAATTTGGTGTTTCTTCCCCAAAATATAGGTTGGGAGTGACTTGAAATGCCTATTGCTCCATGTGACTTATTCTGCTGGTTTTGACACAATATTTATCCTGTTTCATCCTGAGGCAGAGAGATCCAATGCAGTCAAGGGTTGCCCAGCTCCTGCCCAGGAAGATGTAAGAACCTTGATTTCCTGCAGGCTGCTAATGATCTTTGTATTATTACTTTATTTTGACTTTTTCACCTTCAGGCTGATTCTCCCACTCCTGATGTATCCTTTTACACCATCTAGACCTATGTTTCCTCCAAGTTTGTGACTCTTTGAATACTGCATGGAACAACCACCAATTTCCAGCCTACAATGATCTTTTCCCCTCCCTTTTCTTAGGGTTTTTTGGTGTTAATACCAGGTTTTAGTCAGTGCTACAATTTCCCAAAGCAACACATTTTGGCAGAGGTAAAAATGATGCTTTTTCCTCAGACATCCAAAAAAGCAAGCAAAAGCAGAAATTTGCCACAATACATACCGGGAGCCAGAAATAGGGTAAGTAAGAGGATAAACCCAAAGGCCCCAATAGGAAAAGATCTGCGTTATTTTCTTTTGAAATTACTTTAAAATTTTTAGGTCATGGAAAAAATACTTTTATTTTAAACTTATGCTTATGTAATTTTTATTTTTATACTTTTATTATCTCATGTTTATTTTTAGTTTCCTTTCCCCCCGAAGCCTTTTCTATGTCACAGAAAGTTTTTGTGGTGAGCTGCTATCAGCCAGCCTTCCTGCCCTCTGCAAGGCAGCTGCTCCAGTGGTGTGTGACCAGTGATTACCCCTAAAAAACCCCTAAAAAACATAAAATAAATTACATTTTAGGGTAAAACCCTGCAGCTGGGTAGCTTAATTACAAGAACACTTATTTTTTAATATTCTTATAGTAAAAAAAACTTATAAAATGGGCTGAAGGGAGCTGTACTTCTCCTTTGTAGAATCCCTGAAGGCTGTTGTGAGGTGCCATGACATTCTGGAACAGAGTGATCTCCAGCAGTGTTTCCTCCAATTGCACACTTGAAAAAAGCTTACTTGGACAATCCATCTCCCTAGCTGAGAAAAAATTCCGGAAATATGGGAAAGGAAGATGAAGTGGGTGAGCTGGAGGGGAACTTCTGGTACAGTGGGTGGACAGGTGGCCCTGGGCAGGCAGCCCCTTCTTCATTGCCCTTAAGGAGGCACAGGAAAATCCCTGAGAAAGCAATAAAATAAACCAAAGCAACTTTTTTTTTTAAATACTTTGTTTCTCTTCACAGGAGCAGGTTGTGCCTCAGCATTGGGCTTGTTCCCACAGAGCAGACACAGGTGACTGGGTCTGGGATGGGTCTGGGGGCTGAGAGGAGGTAGTCCTAAATTTTGACTGGAAGAGAGAATTTCAATTACAGGAAGAAGTTTTTAATTGCAAGAGAAAATTTTAAATGAGGGGATTTTAATAGAGGGAGATTATTTTAAATGGGGGGAGAAAACCTTAATTTAGAGGAGAAAGCCTTAATTTTGGAGAGAAAATATTAACTGAAAAGAAAATATTAATTGAGGAGAGAAGGTATTAATTGGAGGAAAAACTTTAATCAGGAGAAAAGTTTGCAGGGAGAAAATTTTGATTACAGCAAAAAATTAGAAAATGTTACCTGATGAGACTTTATAGGGGAAGATTTTAATTGGTGGAGAAAACTAATTTGGGGGTGGAAGTTTGATTGTGGGGAAAAAGCTTGACTTACAGGGAGAAAATTTTAACTGAGTTGAGGAAAGTATAATTAGGCAGATAAAACTAATTGGGGGGAGAAGACATTTTAATTGCAGGGACAAGACTTTAATTGTGAAGGAAAACTTCATCTGGGGAGAAAAGTTTAAATATGGTGCAGGGAGAAAATTTTAAATGGTCAGAAAATTTTGATTGAGCATGGAAAACCTTTGTGACAACCTCTGATAGATGGAACTTTGCTTGGCAGGTGAGGCAAGAGCACCTTTAAAGGTGGAACCCAAAAAATGGAGGAAATGAGAATTTATTCCGGAGTTTTGGGCATGGAAAGGAACAAGCGGGCAGGTAACTGTAAGTCAATGAACTGTAGAATCACTGGGTTTGGGTTTTATTTTGATACTTCTGTAATTTGAGAACAAAACCCAGCTGAAGTAAGGTTGTAGGAGGGAAAAAGATTTTTCTGGCACTTCCCTTGAGGGAAAATTTTTCTCACTCAGCAGATAGTGTTTTTGTTCTAAACAGACCATGATGAGTTACTCTAATTTAGCACTAACCTTTCCTGAGGCTCTTGAGTAACTGATTCTTCTAGGCATATTTTTCCCCCACAGATATTCAAATTTTTTGTTGATTTTTCATCTGTTGATTTTTGCACTTTTTAATATAACTTTTTTCTTTTTTTAATATTTGGCATATGTGGCTTCTGACTTACTTTCTAATATTTTTCCAGGAAGAAGAGGGCAAGGGAGGGTTTTCTTCATGAAATTTAATTAATATGATGAGAACAAAAAAAGGAAAATCTTAAACAAAAAATGGGGGAAGTCCTACTAGATGAAAACATTAAGATTTTTGTATAAAACCTCTAGGAAACAGAATTTTCTTTGCTCATGGTGAAGTGCATATTCTGGATAAGATACAGAAATGGAGACACCATGACCCAAAGTGTCTTAGTTTAGGTGAAGAAAAGAATTTCACTGAACTTTAATAATGAGGTAATTCCCAGAAATTAAAGCAAAATTTAATTATGGTACATTTCATGAGTTTGCATCTGGAGCTGGGGAGGAAACTGTTCCCCAAAGAGCTCCCATAAATAAAAAAATAATTTTGTTCCATGTGAAGAAGGCTATTTGGTATTTCTCACCCAAAATGACACCATGTCCACTGGCATTGGCACAAGGCCAACCCTTGATCATCTTGGCATGACCTGTAGCGTGTTGCTGCCCTGGGAGCCCTTGCAGAGGCACTGAACCTCTGTCCTCCTGCAGGTCACAGCATGGAGATGAAGCCGGAGGCACGTGTCACCTGCCAGGTGATGCTGGCAGTGCTTTTCACAGCTCTGTTCATCACAGCCATCACTTTTGCAGGTGAATGTCAAGGTTTTAATCTCACAGGTAATGTCTCAGAGGTATTTTAGGTTGTTGCATTTGTGACAGATTTATTTCCATGTTCCTGGGGAAGACAAAGCCCGCACAAGCTGCTGTTCTCTCTGGGAGAAGGATGTTTCAGAGCAGTCTTTCTACAGAAGACCAAACTCGTCCCCATGGTGTGGGAGCTGATGTCATCTAGAAACCCTTAGAAAATCAACAGGAAGAGCCATTTCAGGAGCACAGTCACACAGAAGTATTGTTTTCAGAGAAGGGGAGATGTTTGCATGAGTCCCACCAAGTCAAGAAGTCTGCAGGAATAAGAGGACTTTTTTCCTGTCATTTTCACTACTTTTGCATTAATGTCAGAGAGCAACATCCAAGGGCATGTTTAGGGATAGGGATACTCTGAAACTCCTCTTTAAAATGTGGTTTTTTTAAGTCTACCACCCTGTTTCCTCCTCAGAAGGTGCAGCACCTGTATTTCTTGATCAACATCACAAGCTGGGCCATGATCTGAGCTTATTTTCGCACAGGATCTCTCCTGGTATCTTAATTTTTCTCTTTGCTAATAGTTGAGGCAGATGTAAGATTTTTGCAAGCCATGGGATGATCTCTCCATGCCAGAGAGGCAAGGAGACAGTGCTGCTTGTTAACATTGTTCTATTTTTAATGACAGTGCAAGCTTTTCAGCCTCATCCCCAGCCCTGCTTTCAGTGTCCTTTTGACTGGATCAGGTACAGAGGAAAATGCTACTATTTTTCTGAGGTTGAGGGGAACTGGACATCCAGCCAGGACAACTGCTCAGCACTTGATGCTTCCTTGGCCATGCTGGACAGCATGGAGGACTTGGTAAGGAGAAATGAGGACCTGCTCTGCTTGCGGAAAAAACCCAAAAAGCAGTGTATTTGAAACCTTTTGGTTTATTTGACTGCTCTTACAGGATCTTTTTTAAAAGTTTGGGGTGAGAATTCAGGGAAAAGAGTATGTCATCACAGGTGTCTTCAAATTCCTCACCAAAGCCAGCTGCTGCAAGAATTGAAGGAATAAACCCCTGTTTATAGATGGCACTTTCTGGTAGCAGATTGAAATATTCAAGCCCCAAAGAAGCCCTAAAGCAGCATGAGCAACTGATAAAATTGGGGTTTTTGATTGCAAGAAGGTAAAACTCTTTCCTTTTCCTCTTTTTCAGAGCTTTATCATGAGATACAAAGGCATCTCAGAGCATTGGATTGGCCTTTTGCGGGAGGATGAGGAGCAGCCATGGCAATGGGTGAACCGCTCACCTCTATCTCACCTGTGAGTCCATGTTTTTCACTATTATGTTGTTATTTGGTGTTTCCTCAGCTGCAGAATGTGCATTTCTTCTTGTACTTGAGGTATATCCAGAGGTAGCAGTGGGACAATGTTTGGGAAGGGCAACATTGCATCTGGAACTGGTCTTTGTTTTCCCCTTTGACCTAAAAGATGGGAGTGGTGCATTTGGTGAGAAAATCCTAAGTTTGGATTTTTTATTTTAAGTTTTTTTTTTTTATCTTGCAAATCTTTGGGTTTCATATTAGAAATAGATCAGTGTCAGTGTTGGCATATTGATATTGAATTAGTTCTATTCCTATAAAAGGAATATGTATAGATATTTTGTCATGTTGGTGCCCATGAGGATGCCTGAGAACTGAAGCTGAGGGAAGCCTATGTGTGACTTTTCTCCTTTTTCTTGCCGCTCCATCTGAAATTGGTTATGTCCTCTGTACTTCCAGGTTTCGGATCCATGGTAGTGGGCTCTGTGCTTATCTGGATGACAATGGGCTCAGCTCCTCCCAGTGCAGCACTGAGAGAAGCTGGATTTGTAATAAACATGAGCTGCAGAGCTCAGGCAAGGGCAACAGGTTGAGACGACCTCCAAACCTCTGTGTAAGCTCTTTGGGTGCTGCAGGGAGGCCTTCTCATGCCCAGATATCTGGTGCACCATAGGGACATGAAAGAAAATCTCAAAAATATTTTGAAATCCCTGGGCAAGGAGTTATTGGGGTTTCCAGGGGCCACCAAGATGTTTCTGGCACAAGGCAGCCTTTGGGGATCCACATGAGATAGTTCTTGAGGATCCAGGGGGGGCAGGGTGGGGGGGGCAGGGCAGCCCTTGGGACTCTTTTTGGGTTTGGGGCAACTTGATGATGGGCCAAATGCAGATGCTTTCTACTTCTTAGAGAAAAAGAAATTTATTCTATCCTGAACATATTTATATGCTAAGTACTTGGAAATACATCTCAAGCATGGGGAACAGTAGAGGAAAAGAGTAGGGGCAGTGGGTGTGAGCACAACCTTGTGATATAAAATCAGTTTTAATATGAGATATAGCTTCTGGTATTAATAAAAAACTTGCAAAAATTAAGATTTGTAATTTGTGCTGGAAGCCCAGACAATCATAGGCACTGAAGTCAGCAAAAGGAACCTTCAGAGGAAGCTGTATTTGGAAGAAAAAAAAGAAGTTTTTAGCTCAAAACAAGCTCAGGGAAGCCCAGCTCCTGTTAACGAGCTTTGCATGTATTTAACAACTTGAGATGAGCTGTGCTGAGCTCAGATCCAAAACCCCCTGGGCATAACCCAAAGCAGACATCTAAGGTGGAGGTAGGACCATGAACTGAGACAGAAATGACTCAGAGACTTGGAAAATAAGAGTTGAGGAACATCAACCAGCATTTCCAGCCACCATGATGCAACCAGCTTTTGGGAGAATCCTCCCAGGGCATCAGCCCTTGGGGGACAGTTTAATGGTTGAGAGGAGCACACAAAAGTAGGGGAAGACCCTCTCCCCACTGAAGGAGGCCACAGGAAAAGTGAAGATGCGTTGGCGGCTGCTGACAGCATAAAAAGACACCTGTCCCACCTCGTAGTCCAGGTAGACCCCAATCTCCCCATTGAGGAGTGGGACAGAGGTGTTGGATGGAGCTGTGAGGGCAACGCAGAGCTCATCATACTTCTGCAAGCCCCAAATTTCAGTGTTGGGCTTGAATAGGACTCGGCCTTTCCTCCGGACTGACTCACGGGCCACCCCTACAGCCCAGAAGCGCCCATTGGCCTCCACTTCCCAGTAGTGACGGCCCGAGGTGAAGCCCTCACTGCCCAGCATGCATGGGTCTGTGTCAAAACGGCCTGGACCCTCAGGCCACTGGCATCGAGGTCTACCCCAGGTGGCTTCTTTGAGGTCCTCCGAGAGGATCACCTCTGGACCCACTGTGGCTGGATCTAGGGTTACGTCCACTGAAAAGCAAAACAGAGAATGAATTAGAAGCCAAATTTAAGCCTAGAGAAAACAGACCCCCAAAATGCCTTCACTGGTGACTTTCCAAAGAGAGAAGGACAGGAAAGGTGAGTCTGGAGATAAAAGTGTGAAGAAGTGGAAGTTGAAGATGGAGGATATATATCCAGTTGAGGCTGGAGATGGAAGAGCAAAAAGATGGAGGTTGGAGACAGAATCCCTAGGAAGACAGAAGTTAGAGCTGGAGATCTCCAACCCCATTGGACATCTCAGGCCAGAGGACACAAGGAATGGGTATTTTGTTCCTTTCGAGCCACCTCTGATTACCTTCAAACTGTTTGGCGGTGTGGTAGTCCAGGGCAAGGTCCCATGTGCATGGTCGTGGTTTGAGGAAGAAAGTCATTGCACCCTCAGAGTCCTTTCTTCCTGCCTGGAGGCACAGAACAAGCAAAGAAAGGATAAAATCTAATTATTTTCCTTCAAACAGTCACATCTCAGCTTCTGCCCCTTTCTGTATCAAAAATGTGTTTAACCACCACATTTAATCAAAGTACTTCAAGAAAATATAATTATTTTTTCTTGAACAGTTGCAACAGAGCTTGATTGATTTATGGGAACACCCTCGGAGATGGGTTAAATAAATTAATTCCCTAATGACTATGAAGGGAACATGAGAAGCACATTGGGATGAACCCATCTCCATTGTACATATTTTTATACCCCCAAATCTCCTATCCGCTTGCTGGCTGAAGGCTGAATCTATCCATCTTAAGTCCATCTCTGCCTCCACCATTCATCAATCAAATCTGACAAAATTTATTTGAGTTAGGAAAGTCCCTAAAATTGAGATAAGCCACATACTTCTCACATCCAGAGAAATCTTGTGAGAGGGGAAGAAGTTAGCTATTGACCTTGGAGAAAATGTGTATGGGAGAGATAAGAGCTGGCACCAAAGACCTCAAATTCATCCTCTAAAAGTCAGTGTGGGGTTTTGCACACAAACAAGGGATTGCCCACGCTAAAGGGCCCCGGGCATGAATAATAAAGCCCCAAAATTATTGAATAAACCATGCTGTGACAGTTGAAAACAAGCAGGTTGCTTCTTTTCTATGTGTTTTCCTCAGCAAATCTGCAGATAAGGGGATTAACGCAGCAGGGTAATGAGTAAAATTGAGAAAAAGGTGATAAAATCACCCAAAATGAGATAAAATCAGGAGCCATGCTGTTTCTCACTGAAATTCCCTGGCTGGATTGTTACAGGTAGAAGAGAACTAAATAATCATCATGACCCTCCATTGCAAAATACCTTTAAATCCAAAACAAAGATCCTGAGATCTTTGGGTAAATCACTTCCCCTCTTGAGTTTGTGGGATGGGGCTCAAAATCCCCTTTCCTCCCCCACCCCAGACATCAGGGTGATGTAACCCCCCTATCAGCACTGGGATTTTCTCCCTTATTCAAACCTTCTTGGTGTTTTCTTTGCTGTCGCTGGTGCTGTTTTGAGTTTCCTCCAGATGGTTTTATTCCACTGGCTGCTTCTCCACTGCGTTTTTCCTCTTGGGAATTTTTTCTTTCTCTCTCTGGCACAGGCTCAGCCAAAGCTCAGTCCTGTCTCAGCCTCTGCCAGCTTTTATCAGCCAAGAAGGGAGGAGCCCTCCAATCTCTTGCCTGCAGATGGGGCCATGACGTGCTTGGACACCTGCACCATCTGATTGCGCCTTTTCCCCCCATTTCAGGGCCATTTCCCATCTCAACACAGGCACTGGGGAGGGAAGGGAAGAAAATTAAAGCACTGCAAAAAGCCTCATTTTTACATGGCACCACAAGGGTGAAATTGGTTAAAATTTGCCCCCTTAGTTCCCAAAATCTGACTCTGACCCCTTACACATGACTGAGGTGAACAAGGCAAAGCTGGAAGCAGCTTCCAGGTGAGGAATGTGACAGCAATGCCTGGAAATAAGACAACCTTATTGTGAGAAATGCCAATCACTTGGTTTTTAAAATTTTAAACCTTTAATAAAATAAAATGGTTATAAAATAGTAATACAATTAGAGTAATAAAATTTAGAGTTAGGACAATTACAAGACAATAAAAAGCAAAGAATTACAGACATCTGGATGCTCTCCAACACTAAGTCATGAAAAACATGCTTTGTGAACAAAAGAATAACACTTAAAAACCATACACTGCAAAATCATATTCATACATACTTCCTGGTTATGCATGCATTCTATTTAAAACAACAACTTCTGCTATTTGTCAACTGTTTCTTTTAATCCCCATGGTGTCTTCGAGTCTGAGCAAGGCCTGAAGAAATTAGTTTCTTCTGATAAGAGACCATAAATTCCTCCTCTCTAGAAGATTTAGGTGTTCTGTGACTGTTATCTCAAAGTGAGTATCTCATTCTTTAAAAAAAAAAAAGACTCACATACGTAGTTTCTGTTTTAACGACAAAACTACATTTACCATACTATTGAAATGTAAATAGAGCATGTCTGATCAATATAACATAATACATATAGTATTCAATTTAATATTTGTGAAAAGCCAATAATAAAATATGCATTTTTTACACTTGTGGATATAAAATTTGTTCAAAGACTACTTGTGGGTGATGACATTTGCTTTTCCAGCGGGCACAGCTTGTGCCGGGAACTGAGACCAGGAACACCCAGGGGTGGTTCAAGGACAGGCAGTTTCAACCTGTGCCATGCCAACCCCCAGCACTCCTTTCTCCTCGCCAGGAGAGCAGCATGGCCACGACAGCTGCACAAAACCCTGGTGCCAACACTGGCCAGAGCTTCATCTCTTGCTGTTGAAGAGACAAAAACCCCTCAGGAGGCAATGGGTGAGCCACCACAAGCTGTGGTCATAAAGACTTTTGGAGGACTGGATGAGACCTGTGAGGTGAGATCACTTTCCTATGATGAATCAGGCCTTCCCTCTCTCACTCCCTGTGAAAAAGAAGCACAAAGTGAAAATATCATAATTTCTTTGTGGGAAAGCAAAGCTCCAGTGCCTGCTTGTAGTTGTGGGAAAAACATAAAGTGAGTTGATCCCTGCTTTCCATGGAAGGCAGTGGAGGGGCATTTTTAGGGGAATTATTTGCTATTGTCCCCCAAAAATGTAAGATTTTTAAGGCAGGATTATACAAACAAGCTGATTGCTTCAGTTGTGGGTTATTTTTTTTGTTTGTTATTGGTTTTTTGTTTTGTTTTGTTTTGTGTTTTTTTT